GAAGAAAAAATCCTAAAACAATGCACATTGCTTTTATACTATTTTAATGAAAAAATATATAAGTAGATCACCATAAATTGGGACACATATATGATGAATTATAGTTACACCAATTAAATGAGAGAAAGGCAGAGAAAGAAGAAAAGAGAAAGAGAGACCAAAACATGGGGGAGAAAGTATGGCATGGGAACTGGTATAAAAATTTTATATGAATATTATTCTTCCTAAGGAGTTCCAGACATATGTACTAGCATATATGTTAAAATTGTTATTCAGTTTAACAGTATGGTCAGAACAGTCAAACAGCAGCTGTCTCACACCCTAAATGTCAAGAACCTGCTAGGTGCTCCCACAAGCCTAGGTGCCTCAGTATTCCCAATCATGTACTGAAGTGCTGGAAGGTTCCTGGCAAAGCCACTGGTCCTCAGTCCTTATTCCCAGGAACGAATTTTCCACTGAAATATACCTTTCCTGATAGTATTGTCATGCCACCTTCATATTTGAAACATTTTGGCATAGTGTGACCAGTTAGTTAACCTACAGTGTTTATATAATATTAACATTATAAACACAGTGTGGGACCAGAATGCCCCTTTTTTCTTATAGTCATCTATAGTCCTCTCTCTCTCTCCCTCCCTCCCTCCCTCCCTCCCTCCCTCTCTCTCTCTCTCTTCCTCTATCCCTCCCTCTCTCTCTCTCTTCCTCTATCTCTCTCTCTCTTCCTCTATCCCTCCCTCTCTCTCTCCCTCTCTCTCTTCCTCTATCTCTCTCTCCCTCCCTCCCTCCCTCCCTCCCTCTCTCTCTCTCTCTTCCTCTATCCCTCCCTCTCTCTCCATCTTTGTTTCTCTCTCCCCTCTGCTCCTCTTTCTTTCTCACACACATACATGCTAACAACAAAAAACTTACTTGTATTTATAGTTTTGTGATTCTGGATTCATTTAAACATGTTAGCTTGTCATTTGCCTTGTCCTTTTTTCAAACCTTTCTTAAACTCCAGTCTGTTGTGGTTTTCTCTGGCTGTGCTTCTATGAAGACCGGTGACTCACTGAAGGCTGTTATGAAGTAGTTTCCAATGCACACGTCAAAAGACAGGAGGACTGGATCGAGCTGATGTCTGCGTCTCTAAATTGGCATTATCAATTCTTTTTCCAACAAGGAGGTTATATTTTTAAGGGAACTTTGAAGGCATTTTGTAGTTGCTGCCTAATGTATTTTGCCCATGGCAAAACCAGACCCCAGAGTGTTTGCCTGCTTTGCTCAATGTCACTGAGTGAGTTAGCAATTGTGGCCTGACTGCATTAAAGTCACCTGACTACCTAGTGTTTTTTTTTTCCATGTTGTCCTTTTAGATTGATGTTTGCAGACTGTTGGCTATCATCGTTTCTATGACACAATAGTAGAGTATTGCCTTGTAACTGGAATCAGTTCTGAGATGTGCAGATTAAGTTAGGAAGCGTGTGAAACAGATGGTACAGTATGAGCAGATTAACAGTGCCAAGGTTACTCAGGCTTGAATCTATTTAAAATAGTGATAGTGCGCTTTAAAACTCATCACTGACTTTGAAAACAATAGGCTCAACAACAATGAAAGTTGTGGGATGCATTCCAACCTGGAGTCTCTTTTTCTAAGGAGATCTTTACATAAATATCTAATATTTTATTTCTCTTTCATGCATGTGCTACAATACTACTTCTCCACAACTTTCGCCTTCCCATTGTACATTGAAAATTAGGCTTATCATTTATTTCTCCTCAAAGGCATTAGCTTGTTTTCTAGGTCACATTTAATTTTCTTTGTTACTCTGTCACATCCCTACATTTTAGAAACATTATCTCGAGTTAATCTCATTTGGAACATGAAATGAGGAGCCAATGCAGAGAGAATTTCATGACATAGGACAGCTGCCTACATGATACAGACTAGTATCACTGGACAACTGAAAGGGGGCAGTCACGTTCAGAAATTGTTTACACTCTGTGAGATAGGAAAGAGAACACAAGGACTTGAGCACATCTCCTGCTTCAATTCTTACTGTGTGCTTGTGTGTGTGTACATGTGTGTGTATTCACTCCCACTCATACATGCAAAATGTTAAAAAAAAGTCTCCCATCAAAGTACTAACCAGGCCCAACCCTGCTTATCTTCTGAGAACAGACAAGATCAGTACATTCAGGAACTAGGTGGTGGTGCACACCTTTACTCCCAGCACTTAGGAGAAAGAGGCTGGCATATCTCTGTGAGCTCAAGACCAACCTGATCTACAAGAACTAGTTCCAGGACAGGCTCCAAAGCTACACAGAGGAATCCTGTCTCAAAAACAAAAACAAAAAGTCAGGAGATAACTTTCAGGAGTTTTATTGTTTTTCTTTTCTTTCCATCCTATGGGGTCTGAGGATTCAACTTTGATCATTAGGCTTTACCCACCAACTCATCCAGCCCCCAGTGTTTTCTTAAAATATATACCACCAAACCTCCTGGATCAGCAGATATTTCACAATCAGCCTTGAAGACTGCAACCTAGCACCAAGTTCTAAGCACATTCATTGGCAGAGACTAGTTAGACGTTTTCCTGACAGCAGTTAATGTCATGGGGCATTTGTTACATTTCTGTCACATCTTGTGTTTACGAAAATGGATTATATGTGTGGGGATTTCAAAGAGTAATGAGGCCTCAGCTAGAAGAAAGCCCTGAAGGGGGTCCGAGCTCACAGCCAAGTTCTACTGGGGTCTGCATTCAATAGTGATGGTGAGAATCCTGCATCCCAGCAAGGTCCAGAGATGCAGAGAAAAACTGCAACCCATCTGAAGATTGATGTCTAGTATAGCACCCCCCCACACACACTTTTTCTCACTAAACTTACCTGTATCACCAATCAATTCTGAGAAAATGTTATCTGTTTTATCTTAAAAGAGATGCATGAAGACCTGGACAAGGTCAGCAATGAACTAAGCACACGCCAAACCACCTTCTATATTCAGTCTGCCTCACACCGCTCCATCTGCTGCATTTCCCCCTTGGACCGGAAGACTCACTCGAACATCAGCTTCTGCCATTTTGATTTCACTTTCATTCTTCTCCGTTCCTTTTCTTTCTGTTCCAGTTGAAGGTTTGTGTTTACCTGAGTCCTTGGAGCGTCACTCTAAGGTATCCAAGTTTCCTCCTTTGCTGTGAATGCTCCATTGTTAGTCCTGAGTCTGTTGCTCCTCCTCCCCATCCTGCTCTCTCTTCTCCTGCGCCTCATCTGCCAATAAAGATGCTCTAGTAACACATCTTTCTTGGAGCCCAAACAAGGCCACTTCTTCATCATCCCTTCAAAGGATTCTTCCATTTAGCAAAAACCACTGTCAACCTACATTCTTAAACACACATGCATGAACGCATATGCATACACACAGACACACACACACACACACACACACACACACACACACATACACACACACACGAGAATTCTTTTCCCTCAGTGTGGCTTGACTTAAATGTTACCTTCCTTTGCAACAACAGCTAGACCTTTATGTATTCTTTGTTCTGCCTCTCATTTTGTCTTGTGTCTGTATTCCAGGCTGACCTTGTGCTTAGCAGGTGTTACAGTCACCTCAACTCTTCTCACCAAGATTATCACACTCACTGAGAAGCTCCCATCTTTAAATAAGGCTAGCCTGGATCCTGGACCACTCTAAGACACCAAGTTCCTATTTCATTAAAGATGTTCTTTCTTACTTTCATGAATTAATTTACTCTGGGATTTACCTTTTATACATGACCTACTTCTTCCTTTGGAAACTTAAAAAAGAGTTTTGTTCTGGCACTCTGCAGCTATGTGCTTTGTTGAGGATATTGTACCCATTGTCTTAGGCACATTGACAGTCCTTTCATTCAGAAAATGCATGTCCACCCTCCATTTGTTGGAAAATGAATTTTCAAGGGAAATTCTGTAATTCTTCTTCAGATGGTTTGTTGCTGTACTCTTTATTCTATAGGGAATCCCATTTTTTTGGAATGGATGTAGCATGTTCTTATGTTATGCTGACCACACAATGTAATATAATGCATTTATTTACTATTTATTTCTAGATTTTTTAAAGATCAGGTGATTATATTGTACTATACCCTATAATGTCCAATTATACTAAGATTTAAAAATGTCATTTTAGGAAAGTTAACACTGACAAAATGTGAAATTGTTGGGGTTCACCAAAGATTCTGGAAAATCTTGTTTCTGACCTCTCAATTTGCAGCCTTGGGGTTTAGATGAAAACTGAGAAAAAACAATATATCACACAATTTGTTTCTAGCACAGATACACAGCTGTAAAAGTCACCCTTGCCTCTTTGACTCCACAGGTGTCAATATCTGGAAGGAAAATGTAGAAAATAAGCAAATCCATACACAGGCAGCTGTTTTTCAAATTGTAAGAAGAAAAGAAATCACAAGCCATTCTAAGTAAGCCACAGGCAAAATGAACTTTAAATAAAATAAGTCTTTGAGAACAAAGGCAAATTAGAAAGTTCTTAATTACAGACAAATAGTTAGGCATAGACAAGGAATTAGAGTAAGTCAGACCAAAGTAATGAAATGACTTGTCTCTCAAACTTTACAGCACATTTAAATTGAATAAGAAAACATTGGAAGGCACTTCTGAATCTTATAACCCTAAAACGAAGAGGCACGCTACAGAAAATTCAGTAAAATACCCACCTTTATTGAAAAGCAGATAAGAAAAAAAGCTAAACAAAAAGTACTTTATACCATTAAAGTAGTTAATGGTGCATATAGCAAGTGTGCTATTTTCCTAAGAACAAACTCTTTAAGCTTTTTTATTTCCAAAATCTTCAGTGTTCTCTTCTCTATAATAACCATTCCTATAACGGAATACTAATTCAACTATATCCAGATCTCCAGGAAGGAAAAGATCAGCAAGTTCATTATCATTCATGTACTTTAATACGCAATAAAATAAAATTTCAACAAGTAAAAAAACAATTCCAAATCTCTGTGTTTCAAATAGAATGTCACTTGAGTTAAAAAAAATGGAGTGGTACAGAGATAAAAAAATAAACCCAGAAGAAAGACAAAAGAGAAAGCAGAGAACACTTATGAAAGAAAGTAAAGTTATCTGTGTTGTAAAATTTAGAGGAGAGAATTTGAAAGGGGGCAGGCTTCTAGAGTTGAATGACAAAATTAGGTCATCATCTTCACACAGGTTAGAATTTAGTGATACCAATGGCACATGAATACAGGAGCATTCAAGAAGCAGTCCTTTAGAGTATAATGTCTGAGCCAGCTTTGAGCAACTGAAATAATAGGAAGAAGGTAGGGTGATTCCTAGAGTTTATGGAGAAATATATAATCAGCAACATTCTGTAACCTGAAAATTCTCCACCCAGAGTCCAGAACTTGTCATATCTAATGATGGTTGTGTTAGAAAGCAATATGCCTCTGACCATAAACAGCAAGTACAGCTCTTCCAGAACACTCTAATGGCCAACCACACAGAAAGAGAAGTCAAAATATCTGGATTAAAATCTAAGACTTCTACATTAGATACATAATTACAAGCAAACATGTTATTTAGTTTAGTTGGGAACATGGTATGTACCACAGAATGTTTGATAAATTCTTGGGTAATTCCCCAGGAAATAGTTATTATATCCCAAATCTTTGAATTGGTGTTCTCTGATATATTCTACTGTATCTGGCTAATTATTATAAATACCTGTACAAAAATTCCTTAAAAATGTCTGTTAAACCAACATGCTCCCTATTGAAATGGTCAGGTTTTGACCCTTATGCTTATTACTTGTTTGATCCGATAGTGCAGGATGTATTCATGTGTGTATTAGAGGTATGTCATCTTTGAATCTTATTGTTGTTGTTGTTAAAGGTCATCAGGCAAGATCCAGCCTTTCTCAACACTGAGTTCTACAAGTACTCAGCATGTACATCCTTAAAGTACAGCTCATTTTCAAACAGCAGAGTCAAGTGACTGCCAAATTGACTCTCAGCTAAATAAGAACAACAGAGATGAATAAAAAACTATGTAACAGAATGGCTTTGCAGCGAAGTTGAATAGCAAGGAAGTGCCAAATCTGAAAATTGTTTTTGACAAGAATCTAGCCAAGATTTTAATCTCTAAGTCTAACGAAATGGCTATAGAAGGCAAGAAGATATTAGAAGCTTATCTAATAAGATACACCAATACTGATTAATTTTATAATATTACAAGACAATTTTTCTTAGAAATTCTTCAAAATGCTGTTAATAAAAGAACAATATAGGCAAAATAATAAAAAATGTCATCAATGAAACAAATTTTTAAAAGACAAAAAGCTAATGAATATGGTAAGAATAATTTTACATATACTAAATACTTATAAACATAACCTGAATTTGCTTATGAAGATTGGCAACAGAGGATTACAGTCTATGAGTTGTGGAGAGAATTGAGATGTGCATTATTACTACTCAAAAGTAATACAGAAACAGTTGGTGTGGTTCATAATAACAAAATAAAGCAGACAAAAAATTTAAAGAGTGTATCTGTGTGTATGTGTATGTGTGTGTGTGTGTGAGAGAGAGAGAGACAGAGAGAGAGAGAGAGAGAGAGAGAGAGAGAGAGAGAGAGAGAGGAGAAGAGTCTGTATGTCCATGTGATATTTCACTCACATTATGAATTTCCTATGTAAAACAATTTAGCTGGTCACACGTTGGTATGTGTCTCCTGTTTCCTTCATACGAAGTCATCTGTAACAAAAAGCAAATTCCATATGATGCTCAAGTTGCTATATAAAATGCCCATATTATCTGATGGCAATATTTTATATAAGATACCCCAGTTAGTGACAGAAATAATTCTGAGACTGGAAATAAGAATTGTCAGAAAAATAAAGATAATTAGCAATAAACTATTTAAAATAGAAAGGGTTATTTTTTCATTAAAAAAAAGCTTATTTAAGCTTTGGAAAGATTAGCACATTGTGTCAAAGGCAAACTCCGTAACAAGTTTCTTCGATGCCCATCCTCCTTTCTGAGGTAATTGGTATGCCAGGAGCAGTTGTGTCTGCTATGAAAAACTCTAAACCATTTTAAATGCCATATTTGGAAGGTCTTTGAAAGGTTTGAAGAATATCCATTTGAAATATCTATTTATATCTAGAAAACCTAACAAAAGTTTGACTATTTCAGTTGACTATCATCTTATTTAATTATACATTACATTTTAAAACAGCTGTATAAACACAATAGCTAAACAAGAATAGAAATATACATATAACCAAATTGACCTTAAATTTGTATCAACAAATGAAAATCCATTCCAATACAAAGAATTCATTTCTATATCCTTTCCCCCTTCTTTTTTTACTATAAAAAAAGATTGGTTGTGATCATTAACCATTTATAACCAACCGAATTTAAATGAAAACAAACATTTATAAACAATATTTGAAATTTGAGTATCATTCTCTCCAAACTACTTCCTGCTGTTTAGGGGTGCTGTCTTGGAGATCCTAAGAAGACCCAGAAATCCTGGCTGTAGTGATCTGTAACTGCATCATCTCAGCTGTTTTCGATGTATCACTTGAACCACTGCTTCAGGGGGTCTTGCTTCATCAAACCATATTTGTCTGGAAGGAATCCACAGTTTTTCATTTTTATGGAAACACAAATAAAATCTCTTTTCCAAAGTTACATATCCTTATACTTAAATTTTGAAGTCTCCAAAACATCAAAGGACCCAATTAAAAAGTGGGCTGCAGAACTAAATAGAGAGTTTTCAATAGAGGAGTCTAAAATGGCTGAGAGGCACTTGAGAAATTGCTTAACATCCTTAGCCATCTGGGAAATGCAAATCAAAACAACTCTGAGATACCATCTCACTCCTGTCAGAATGGCTAAAATCAAAAACACCAATGACAATTTATGCTGGAGAGGATGTGGTGAAAGGGGGACACTCCTCCATTGCTGGTGGGAGTGCCAACTGGTTCAGCCACTTTGGAAATCAGTGTGGAGATTCCTCAGAAAAATGGGAATAAACCTACCACAAGACCCATCAACTCCACTCTTAGGCATATATCAAAAAGATGCCCATTCATACAACAAAGATGTCTTTTCCACTATGTTCATAGCAGATTTATTTGTAATAGCCAGAACTTGGAAGCAACCTAGATGTCCCTCACTCGAAGTGTGGATAGAGAAAATGTGGTACATTTACACAATGGAGTACTATTCAGCAGAAAAAAACAATGGAATCATGAGATTCGCAGGCAAATGGATGACACTAGAAGAAACCATCCTGAGTGAGGTAACCCAGTCACAAAAAGAGAAACATGGCATGTACTCTCTCATATATGGACTTTAGACATAGATCTGGGGAGTGCCAGCCTACAATCCAATGGCCAGAGAGTCTGGGAAACAGAAACTTCATTTAGTGGCTGATCGAAGAAGAGGCAGACTCCCTTGGTTAAGTACTGAGCTGAACTCAAAAAAGCCAGTAACAGAGAGGGAGGACTGATGATCAAAGGGATTAAGACTGGGCTGGTTTAACCCCCAGAAACAGCTGACCAGACAAAGGTTAACTCTTGAATCCCAGGCATCAGCCTGGGAATCCAGCATGGGACTGATCAAGATCCCCTGAATCTGGGTGTCAGTGAGGAGGCCTAGGGAATCTATTGAGCCTTGGGCAGCAGATCAGTACCCATCCCAAGTATACACACGGACTTTGGACTCCCATAGAACAATGTGAGGTGCACTCTCACCCTGAACTCTTGGGGAAGGGTCTAGGCCCTGCCCTATATGAAATGACAGACTATGGACACCCCCATGGAGGGCCTCGCCCTCCCTGGGGGAATGAGGGGATAACGGGGGGGGGGGTTGGGAGGAGGGCATGGGAGGATGGGAGGGAAAGGGAGAGGGACCTGGAACTGACTTGTGAAGCAACCTTGTTTCTTATCTAAATTTAAACTAGAAAATAAAATTAAAAAAATGAAAAAATTTATAAATTGGATTAATTCAGCAGCATTTCTTTTAGCATTTTTTTTCTGTTTCCTCGGCAGTCAAACAATTCATAGACAACACAATAGCATATGGTATCCAGATTCTTTGTATTTTCCATCTTTACGTGGCTTATTTTTATTTATTCATTTATTTATTAATACTCTATTTCCTTTACTTTTATTTTTCAGTTTTTGAGACAGGATTTCTCTGTGTAACTTTTACTGCCCTTGAACTCACTCTATATACTAGGCTGGCCTTAAAATCACAGAGATCTGCTTGCCTCTTCCTCCAAAGTGCTGGGATTAAAGGTGTGTGCCACCACACCCAGCTACTCTATTTCTTTTCTCTCCCAAATCTACATATATATTTAAACACACTGTAAACCTTTTAGAGCTTTTACTTCATCTGAATCTGTCTTACCTTATATCTCTACCTTTTTAAGCCACACAGTCTTTTATCTGCTAAACAACATTGCTAAAATTAAAGCCACAGCAGTTTTGGCCACTGTCTTTTCAAGATGGCGTGGTACATTTACTGCCAGCACGAGAGTTATGCTTACTACCTTGGTCACAGCCACTGCCAGCTGCTTGTAGACATCATTCAATTGTTAGCAGGACCTCTTAAAAGATCCTTGAAGGTTTTTGCCACTTATGCCAAGCAGGAAGATTCTTTAACGGAGCCACAAGAGTCTCTGCTTGTCTCGAGCAAAACAGAGCCTACCTGAGAAAATGCTGCTACCAACAAGCCATACATGTCCCTGCTCTTTTGTTTCTAAAACTCCCTTTTTAAGCTTTTGTTAAGTGGAAATTCATGCTCCAAGTCCAGATGCCATTTTGTAAGAAGAAGTTTCTTGGCCCAGCTAGGCCCTGCCGCAACTTCAGCTCCAAATAATCATACAAACACTATATTAATTATGAAACCGTTGGCCATTGACTATGGTTTCTTACTAGCTTGCTCTGACTTAATTATTAACCTATTTCTATAAATCTAAGTATTTCCACGTGGTCTTCTCTTACCAGAGGAATGGTTCGGGCTTCTTACTCCATTGATGTCTACATTGCATCTGCACAGAGTCGCCACAGAGAAGAGAAGAGCAGAGAGTGATTTTTTGCTTGTCCTTGCTTAAACACTAATTCTGCCCTTCCTGCCTAGATCACATGGTGATTTCTCTTTACTACATTTCCCAGAATCCTCCTCGACTCCTAGTCCCACCTATCTTGCTTCTCTATTGGCCAACAGTGCTTTATTCATCAGACAACAAGACAGACACAGAAGAACATTCCCTATCAACTTTGAAAGAAAAAAATTATTTCTTACTCTTTTGTTGGAAGTTTTATGCTAGTTTTTTCTTTTTCTATGATACATTCAACTGTTTCCTAATGTATCTCAAAATTACCTTCTACTATTTTCATTTTACATGGTTTGTCCTATTGCTTTAAAAAAAATCTTGACCATTCTGTTTTAAATATGTTTCTTGGGCTAAGAATTTTATTTCTTTTTAAGTATTAATGGTAAGTGTGAAGAAGAAAACATTGTCAAATGCTGTGTTTAACAACTTGAATGTTTTCTTCTAATGGAATATGATTGCAATAACTAATAGTAACAATTTTGTACTTGTGTATTGTCTCATTCCCCAATATGTGTCCAAGCAAGTCACGTGATCTTGTGGAAGGGCATACATTATCTGGGTACTGTGTTTTTAAGATAATTAAAAATGCTGCATAGAGTAAATATTCAGTGAGCTGTTGCAGATTCAAACGAACAAGTAAGATAAAGGGAGAATTCATTGAACTCTACCACATCATCCAGAATTTTATATAAAATTCACAATCTTTGTGTACTATTGTTAATAATTTTATATTGTATCCACTGTTCCTTTTTATCAAATAAACTCTTATTTTAGAAATATAATACATGCACTGTTCTAAAACGTACATTATCTAAAATGTGTAATGAAAAATATTCTTTTTTTTGCTCATCCATGATTTTTGTTGTATTTTAATAGTCTTAAAGCTAATATTTTAAATGATATGTATCTACCAGTTTTATTTTTATACATCATAGATTATCCCTGCTCCATAATGTGTGAATGCAGTTATAATGTATCTCTGTTTTATTCCAAAGGGCATTGTTGTTTTAGCCATTTCATATCCTGTCCAATAACGTTTGCAATTTGGAGCAACTTTTTGTTTTAAACTTCATTTGTCAGATAAGCTTATGTCCCTATATTTGAATATTTGTCCTAACAGATAAAGAAAATACCATAATTCTGAGTTTTCCTTTACAAATAATGATATAACAAATCGTTCACATATTTTATTAATACATATAAATGTTTGTGTCTTACAGACATATAAACATACACATGTGGACAAGAATAAAACACCTATTTCACAAAAATTCAGTCACAGATAATATTATTGATCTTTAAATTACAAGCTTAGTAGTTTAAAATTAGTAATGTAGAAATCACATACTGTTTAGGGCAATGTATTGAACTGGAAGTAACTGTTTAATTTTCTACACTTCTTCCTGTTTGATCTTTCAAAACAGAAATTTCATTTGCACGTGTCTGAATGTGTGTGAGAGACATAGCAACAGATGCACAATTTTAAGATTGATGTTACTGATGTTTCCTGTCCACTCAGAAAAAAGACCACGATTCTGTGTGGTTCACAATTTTTGATGCCTGTGCTAAGCACAGCCAGGCCTTTGCAGAGCTGCATCTGTCTCACAGCTAAACTTTGCGTCTGCCTCAGCATCACACTTGCTGTTACAGCCCGGCAGGCATTCTCTGTCCCCCTGTGTCCTTTAGCTTTGAAGGCTTCCTTGGGGTGAACTCACATTTTCAAGCACTCTATTTTCAATTTACCTTAAACTTCTGACTCCACTTTCTGAATTTTCCTGCTTCACTTTAAGTCTCAGTCAGGCTGTCAACACCACTTATTCGATGCCAGCTGCGAATAGATTCAAAACGAATCAAGGCAATGTTTTTCTTCCAAAAGAATGTGAAACCTTGTTGGCAAAACAAAGCATACTCCCATTAAATCACATAAAACATGCAAAAATAGGCAGAGGTAATCAAATATTAATTTAGCATGACCACCATACATATAATCATGGAGTGTTATTTATGAATAATAATATTCACGAATTACTTTTGTGGAGTTTTGAAGCTCAAGTCTATCTCATCACTTAAATTAATAATCACATTGGATATGCTCCAATTATAATTATAATAAAAGGAAACAATGGATGATAAAAACTTAATATCAGAGAAATTAATGCAGTACCTTATCTCCTATGCAAAGAAGGGTGGATACAGCAAAATAATTTACAATGCAGTGGTATATGTCTCAAAACAAAAATGAGCACATCACATGTAAACAACGAAAGAAAATGAAGTGTATAACTGTAACAACTGCAAATGTGGATACTGCATGAGAATCAGGAGTGACACAGCTATGAGAGATGTTTTCAAAACAGGTGAGTGGTAGCGCTTCGGAGGACAGCACAGAAAAGCAAATGAAAGACCTTTAATTTTCAATATGGAAGAAATTTATATCTTGGCTATAAATAATTAGGAACAGGATTTCTATTTAGAAATGCAGTGGCCATTCAAACATGGTGAGGCTTATTGGAGCAATTACTTGATGTGCAAGATTGTCCTCCCACTGAACTAATACCTTCTATCTCACACCCCTGGCAACAATGTGACAATTGAAAATGACGCATGTGTCTGTGAAAGCACCTCTTGGGGATGGGAATGTGCCTGTTGCAAAAGAAAGGACAGAACTATAAAGTGAAAGGGAGCAAACACCATAGAACCTTTTTCAATCCTATCAGTTTCTAAAACTTGTTTTATTTTTTCCCCAAATAATTTGGAAAATTCTGATTTATTTGTTTAGCCCACATTCCCACAGTGTTTACTATGTTTAAAGTGTTGTAGGCATCCTATAGATATTACCTTATTTAGTCCACATAACACTCTTTTAAGGGACACAGTATTGTTATCTCCATTTAATAAATTAGGAAATTTGAGTGTTAGCACATTAAATGATCTATCCTCACTACACAACTAATAAATACAGATAATCAACTAAAATGTATGTGCATAGGCTTTGAAGTAAATGGTGTCACATTGTGCAGAAAACACACCCATCCTGTTCACAGTGATTTTGGTGCAGCAAATCTCAGATGGCAGAAACAAACTCACATGTTGGAGAAAGAGCTCCACACACAGTGAGAGGGAAGGGACAGGTTTCTGAGAGCCAAAGCAGTTTCATTTGGAATAGTAATGACACATAAAACCATGCAGGGACCTGAAGTCAAATTATAGTAAGACACAAGAAGGAGAAGCAGGTGAGGAACTGCTCAGACAGTGCCCTGGAAAGCAAGCTAACACACGCACATCTCGCTACAAAATAGCCAATAGGGAATTATGCATTATTCAAGAGAATGAAATGTATAAAACGTGATCAATAAAAGAAAGACTATAAGCAGCATTAATAAACACAGAACTGTGGTAGGTATAATGCACTCAACAAACAGATAAAAGGTAGTAAGTGGAGAGCTGGAAGAAACACATTGTGTTCCACTCATGGTATGAAATAAGTGACAATATCATCCAATAATCACTGAAACACTTTCAATGATGAGGGTCTCAACTAATAAGGTAGTAAACAATGCATGAGCAGTGGATGTTAGAAAGTAACTCTATGATCATCAAGTCTAGTAGAGGCAACCCTGGGTCACAGTATTAGAATCAGGGGACATCAAACTATAATATGTATCACAGATCACTGGAACTGCTCCTAGAGATTTCCAGGTCATATTGTCACTGAAGTGTTAACATATATTCATACTTCAGAGAAAGCCATTGGTTATAATTATTCCTCAATTTCTCAAAATTGCTATCCTAAAAAGAAAAAACTGTGGACATTCTGTCAAGTGATCTATTGAGGTCTGGAGATAGTATAGTTTTTGTTTGTTTGATTGTTTGATTTTTGTTTTGGGGGATTCGGTTTTTTTAAGTTATGTTAAAAATGACTGATGATGACTATAAAGCTAGGGCACTGACAAACTGTTACTGAATTTCCTCTTAATCCTTCATTCATGACAAGTTACAACAACAACAAAAGGCTATTTTCCATGCAGTAATTCCTGATTCCCCAATGGCTCATAGTAATAAACAGCATCATCTAGGACTCATGAAAAAGTGATGCCTGTGCTCATAGCTTCCACTTTTTACACGTATGACCTACATTCTCTGATAGGTTGCTATAAAATCAAATATTACAACGTATATCAGGCAAATTGAAGTCCTGCTCAAATGCGGCACAGAGTGCATGCATATCAATGGGCTGGGAAAATCTAATCAATTAGTAAATAGTTGCTCCCTGGCCTGTGAACGTAGAAGGCTCATCTAAAGCAGTGATCCTTAAAAAGAGAATATGAGCTTTGTGTATAACTCTAAATGTTTCAGAAATAACACTGAAAAAGAAGAGATAGAGATGATAGTATAATGTAATTTATTTAATCAATATCTAAAATACATTTACATGCAACAGCATAAAACTTCTGGTTGAGGTGTTTTCCATCCCACCTTTTCATATTACCTTTGGGAAGTTTGATGTGTATTTTATGTTTTCATTGTGTTTTAACTTTTAGCAGCATAGATTCAGATGAAGACCAAGGTTCCCCTTCAGTTCTTGACTTTGCTATGTAGCTTGTTGTAATATATCTCATTCTATGCCATCTTCAAAGAAGCTAAAGTTTAAATCCACACAAATGTAATCTGTAAACTCTTGAGGACATTTTAAAATTGGGAGTTGAGCATGTCCAGCAAGTGTATTCTTTTCTAGTTCCATTCTATGAAAACATACTAAGAATTTCAGTATATAAAAAATGCCCTTTGATATATTCAAAAGCAACATGGTCAAAAATTAAAATTTGATCCAATAGAAAGGGTAGTCAGACTTTGCATTTTTTACAAGGGACATAGACAATTTCATATCTATAAGACATTTGCTATATTTATTGTCAAGCTAATAAAATGCCCACCACATAACTGATTTGTAAAATCATCAATCTGGTCCAGGATTCTGGCACACAAAATTTGCTTATTGCAGATAAATACATCCATATGGTGAGGCAAACAGAGGCCCAGAATTACTCCATGAACAGTTTTCAAGTGATCCAAAATACTGTCTTTATTTTCTTATCTCCCAAGAAGCTCTGTCAAAGAGACACTGAAAACCAGCAGTTTCCTTAGCTGATAGAACCCTGGCTTTAGATGCAGACAGAGCATCATTCATTATGATCACTCAAGATTTTATTCACAAAAGAAAAATGGAAGGCTCTGTTTGCCTAGAATCAGGGCCAATAGAGATTCCTCTTACATTTTTTTTTCAGGAAAAGTGTTTAAGTATTCACCTTGAGGGTTGCCAATAGCACAGCATCCTTCTAAAGCAAGAAATTTACCCATAGTCTATGGATCTCACCGCCATGAATGAGGAACAAGGCTCAGTATTTGCAATATGGCAGCCTTAATGGTCTCTGCTCCTCCCAAGAGCATTTAAGCATATCTCTTATGTAAATTAACCAGCCTAGATTACTTAGCTTGACTTGTGCCTATAAAGTTTTCTTCCTGGAAACTTCCCCAGAGCATGCAAAGCACCACCAGTATCACATTGTTAGTATCACTAAGAATCCTAACTCTTTCACTGTTTTAAATTAAAAGGATCACAATGATCCCTCTCCAAAGTAGATCAAACTGGCAACAGAGCATCCTTTCATCTTGAAGATGTTGACTGAAATACTAACATCAGGGGGAAATAGCCTGAGGTAAATTATCCACAAAATGATACCTCCTTAGCTAATCACACATTCACTAAAGTGACTTTTCTCTTAGTGGTACAAGTAAGTGAAGATATCTTATTGAAATTCATTAAGTGTATTCTATCACAGAAAACATTAAGATCACTTAATTATGATTTTAATTGTTCAAATAACAATAATATATTATTATGTATAATTATATATAAACTAAATAAATTTATGTATGTATGTATGTATGTATGCAGTATGTATATATAGGGACAGTTTTCCATTAGCCTGAAAACTAAAATATTCTACAACATATCTATGTATTTATTTATTGTGGCCAGTGTATGCACATCAGAGTGTGAGCACGGGGTTAAGGGAACAACTTGCAGGACTTGGGTCTCTACTCACAGTATGTAGGTTCTGAGAATGACATGCCTTGGCAGCAGGTGCTTTTGCCTACTGAGATGTCTCACTCCCCTGATAACACAATAATTATTAATCTAAAATGTAAGATGATTTTAAATGTTAGTTTTGAATTTTTGTTTTGAATAGACTCATAACAAATACATACATTTATTAAGCATTGTGTGTTTGTTCGATATATGCTGATCAAATCAGGTCAATCACAAAATCTTACTGCCAATTCTACTTTAAATATTTATTTCCATTTTTAGTTATGTCTATATGTGTGTGTGCATATGTGGGTATGTGAAAATGTGTGAAGGTGTCTGGGGAAGTCAGATGTATTCTCTGGAGCTGGAGTTAAATATGGTTGTGAGACATTTTCTATGGATGCTAGTAATCAAACTTGCATCCTCTGGGAAAGGGGCAAGTTCTCTTAACACTGAACCATCTCTCCAGACCCCTCCTATCATGCTTTATGATTGCAGATAGTAAACTCTTTCAATTCATCATAAAGGACATAGGATAGTAGCTCAGACCCTAACCATACACTATTGTGAACAAGGTACTATAGAATTCTAAAATTCATTATTCCCATGTAACACTATTTTGTATTCATTAACCATATTCTATTTATCCTTCACACCTCTAATCTGTGTTAATTCCTATCCAACTCTTCTACTTTGAGATTTTTTTTCAGCTTTGCATGTAGAAAGGAACATATGGTGTTTGTCTTTCTGTTTAGGGCCCAATTCACTTAAGATGATCTTCTCGATTTTCATATA